GGTGCTGCCGGCGCCGTGACCCCCAGAGCCAGGTGTATGCCGAGGGTCCTCCCAGTGCATCAGAAACATCCCCACCGTGTGGGGCAGTCATTTTTTACCATTATAAAAGTGTCTACAATAGTGTATTTTTCTTTTTTAAAGCTGTACAATACTGTGCTTAATCGCTGTGGTGAATATAGTGCAGCTTTTAACATGCCTTTTGCAGCAGCAGTATCTTTGGGAGCTAAACCTATTTGCATCTATACAATTTGAAAAATGCTGTTTTTCCCTCCATGAATGATGTTTTGTTTTCCTCGCAGACATACAACCAAGGTATTGAACTAGCCTGCCAAAAGGAAAAGGAATTTGTGAAGCACTCTGTGGAATGCACCTGGAATCTAGCAGAAGCCCAGCAAAAACTCGGCAGTTTAGTACTGCATAGTTCAGAGTCTGTGGACCAGGAATTTGCCCAAGCAAAGACTGAAGTTTCAGAGTTGAGATGGAGAGAGGAAGAGTGGAGAAGAAAAGAAGAAGCACTAAACCAGCGGGAAGGACAAAATCTATGGAATACAGATCCTGTTAGCAAGGAGGTATTTAATAAGGTATGACCTGTATCCATAGGCAAGACAACAAGTATTAGCCTAATTTCTCATTTCACTTGTTTAATTCAAGACTTGTTCACTTGTTTATTCAAGACAATAGTCTCAGATGTCTTCTGTATCTAGTACAGTGCTTAATCAGAACTCTGTTATATGGATAATTTTCTTATTTTTATCTGTGAATGGGAGCAAGCTGCACTATTATACAAAGCTGGATGACGTCTTTTAAGCAAGGATCAGAACTTGCGTTGGTTCTGAACAGTAACAGTTGCCCTCGGGAGGCWGAACAATAGCTTCTTCTCATAACCAGAGTGCTCCTCAGCTGTGCCAAATGCTCAAACATGAAACAGAAATACAGTTTGCCCTCAGTAACCTGAGTGCTGTAGTGCAGCTTGTTTAGCACAAATGCTCTCCAGAGTACAGCCTGAGCTTTGCTTTTGGATTAGTTTGAATCTGAGCAAATAGCACATCTTTTATCGTACTTCCTTGACACAGCTACCATGGCATCTTGACACTAAGGCTACCATGTAGAGAGTGTTCGTAGTTCACAGATCAGAAAGTTTGCTCACTAAAAGCAGAATTCTGTCAGTGTTTCTTGATCAGTGCAAATGGTAAGATTTTTAAACTCTTATCAGCCTATGTACCTTTTAAAAACATAACAAAAAAACACTTGTCAGGTATATGACTTGGCGGTAAGCTAGAATGCTAGTCTTTTTAATAGTAATGTAATGAAACACAATATTCCTTTCTAGCAAAAAAACAAGTATGGGAAGCCTGTGATAGTTACCTTTTATCTTTCTTAGAGTTTTATTAATCAAAAAAGGAAAGAAATAGAAGATGAAGAAGCACCTGAATCATTTATGCAGAAACATGAACAAAAGATTAAACACTTTGGTGAGTGCACTTATTCCAGTGCTTTGCAGTTTAACCTTATGCAGTTTTGTGTGGTTTGATTCATATTATTGTATAGAATGAATGCTAGAAAATTTGGTGCCAGGCTACCAGACAGTCCAAGTTCTATTTTATCACATCATGACAGGCAACTAGTTTAAAGCGAAATGAAGTATAAGCTACAAAAAACTGTTAGTTCCTGTGACCTGTAAGAACTTAACGCATTTTTAATAAGAATATTCAAAAGGACTCAACTACTGAAAACAAAAATTCAAGCATTTTTCCCCCTGGTCAATGGGGAAGGGCAGAGACATCCTTGGAACCAGAAGAGCTGTGTAAAAAGTGCTTGGGATTGTCTGTAGCCCTCTCCTCTGAATACATATTTTTTTATGGTAGATAAGGATTCTCTGAGGAGAATGACCAAGGAAAGATAAAAGTTTGTAATCCACTATTAAGGAGTATGCATAGAGAAGACTTGATTTTCAAGTTATATTTAACTCTCCACTAGATGTCACTTTAGCTCTATCATTAACTAAACAAATTGAGCAGAACTCTGACTTTGTAAAGGAATCTGAAATTTTGATGGTTCTCTTAAGTGCTTTCCATTCCTGGTTGGAGAGTGGAAATGTTGCCAATGTTGAAGTATAACCGTGTTAGGAATTCCAGAGCAGTCAAGAACAGGACTGACCAGACAAAAGCTCCTTGCACAAATGTTTTTAATTTGCTACTTGTCTTATACAAATCTTAATTTTTTTTTTTTATTAAAGAAAAGGCTTTTGGTCCTGGGTGCTGAAGGCAAGCCTTGCAAATACGAACTGAGGCGCAGCGTCGTCAGGGCGTACAGCAGCAGTGACAGCCAACAAAATGTACTGACAGTGTAATTGGAAGGGTTCTATTGTGTTGTACATATCAGCAGAAAAATTGGGCTTCTTAATGGGCTTCCAGGCTATGAATTGGACAAAATTACCTTGCTATCCAAACTGTCAATAAATTCTTACAGAAAAAGCCTCTTATAGGAAGTCCTTTACACACACACACACGCACACCACAACTGAAGTTCAAAACCATTTATTTATGTTATTTAGTTGTTTTTACAATGGGGGTAAACAACAGTAATGATCTTAATGTGTTCTGCCAGGGGCTGGCATAGACTGCTAGCTATAGAGCCTGAGCTCAGTTTCTCGATCCTACTCTGGCATTCAAGCAGTAAAGCACTTTTGCAGAATCACTCTGACTAAACAGCCAAAAGAAGTATTAGCCAGTGCTTTAGGTATTGGTTTGCTAGAATTAAAATTAGCTTAGGTCGCTACCACTAAATTATCTTTATCCGTGTTATATTTATATGCTGGTAGAAGGGTAAAGCTCTATATTTGGTACTTGCTGACAGTAAATGAATCAACTGTTCTAATATACATATGAACATCAGTGATACATGAAGGATAATTTTAAAAGCTGTCTGTCTGAATATTGCATTCTGATTTTTAACCTTCAACCTTTTACATGAAGGTGCTATCTGAATTCAGTCTTCTATTTAACTTTCAAATACTGACATGGCTTTGCTCTTTTGGCTTTAAATTAATTATGTAACTACATTCAAATTTTCTAAATATTTATCAAGCCATTTATTTTTAGAAGCTCTTTCATTTCCAACTAATTGCATGTTCTTTTTTTTTTAATTGCCCTTAATGGTTTTGATTTTGTTAGAACTAATATAAATTTATATCCATGAACTTTGTGAGAAAGTTGGTACAATTAGTAAATATGTATAACTTTTTTGTGGGAATAATTTAAAAATAACTGAGTTTCAACATCGCTGGAGATGCATTAAAATATAGTTAACTATTAATGTTAAGATTTACCTTTAACTTCTATAAAATCTGATTATGCCTTTAGTAATGTTCTTTCAGTGCTAGTTGGATGTCTAAATAAAAACTAAAATTAATGTCATGCTGTTATGCTCAGGTTAGTTAATCTGGAAGATGACAGTGTGCCAATGCAAATGACTTCCTTGCTGCATTAAATCATTTGTTTGTTTTGCGTATCTTAGTCTATGTTTCTCTTATTAGGTATGCTGAGCAGATGGGATGATAGTCAAAGATTTTTATCTGACCACCCATATCTTGTATGTGAAGAAACATCCAAATATCTCCTGTTATGGTGTTTTCATCTAGAAGCTGAACAGGTGGGAATATGATCGAAAATGCACAGCAAGCATATTGATTGAAAAATATTGATAGAAAATATACAGCAAGTAAACTTGCACTACAGAAAAGCTGATTAGCTATTTAATTGCTCTTTCTGTCCTTCCACTATCTTATTATCTTAATAAAGAAAACCTCCATTCTGTGTTGCTGCATCAGGACTAGTCCTAGCTAGTAACAGTCCTTTTAGTTCTGTGGCCATCAGTGCTTAGCTCTATAGGAACCAAACAAAACTGAAGTTACACTAAATTTTAGATACATAATTACTGGAGACAATTTTAATCTCTTTATGTCTTTTTTACTTTCCAGAAAAGAGCTCTGATGGAACAAGTAGCACACCAAGCAGTTGTAATGCAATTTATTATAGAAATTGCAAAAAGTTGTAATGTAGATCCAAGAGGCTGTTTTCGCCTTTTTTTCCAAAAAGCCAAAGTAAGTATTTTTATACAATGGTATAAGGTATTTTGTATATATTTTTAGCAGTTCTTTCTCTGGAAATAATATTTTGATATAATTCCAGTCCTGAAAACAGATGTTTTCGTATATTTCATGTATAGTTTAGTATATTTTATTATCCCAGTAGTAAAGCACGAGATAGCATGGTGGAGATAAGCATATTACAGAGCTGTTATTCTTGAATACTAGCAAAAACACAGATTACTTTGTGAAATGTTTTGGTTAATTAGCCTCTCTGTTTTCACAATTGACCTGTGTGTTTCATCTGCATTTCATAGTTGGTCCCAAAACCATCCTCCCTTTCTTGATAATCAGCAGGGCAGTTTTGCTGTAGACTGCAGTCATTTATTCAAGACTCTGATAAGCCTTAATACTGCCTAAAGGAGTTCAGTTTAAGTGGGAATCAAGTTGTACTTTGTTTTTGATCTGATTTTTACAGTGATCACCTGGGTTCTTCTATGGGTATTGACACTTGAGTTGAAATAAAGGAATAGCTAAAATTAGATGTTGTCTTGCATGTCCTCAGATGAATGAATGACTTTATTTTACACATAGATACTATAAGTGATCTGTAAAATATTTATTTCCATTAACTGATTAACTTTTCTATTTGTTCCCATACATTAGTGAATGTGAAACTGGATGTGTTTTCTGCTACTAACCTTGCCTTTCATGACTTGAGAAATTAACTGATTAAAAGCTGATTAACATTATCACTAAATTGTTTAAAATGTTATGACATGCAGCACGAAATGATTTTTTTGCCTTGTGTATACTTACAGCTCAAAAGTACATGTGGCTGAAGAGATTTTTGTTTTTTCTTCTCTTGGCAGACAGGAGAAGGCTATTTTCAAGCTTTCAAAAATGAACTTGAAGCATTCAAAACAAGAGTGAGAATCTGGTCACAATCACATGGCTTTCAAAATATGTTACTACAGGATCCTAGTGTCTGTTCTGGTTTTATAGGAGAACTAACATCTTTGTCACAGGTAAACTCACTTTTTCCAGAAATTTATGTTAATAAGAAATAGGTTCTGCTTTGGAAGTCTTCTAGAACTGCTGCTAATCTAGAATATCTACTGTATAACATGTGGTATTTTCAGAATGCAAGGATGCATAAAATGCAGAAAGCATCAGCATAAGGTCAAAAGCATATATTGCTTCAGTACCCTTGAATGTTTTACAAAAAATCACTGCATCGCAAAGCTGATCAGGTGCTAGGCACTTTTTATCTCAAGTAGTCTGAGTTTGCAGTCTAAAATAACTATTCCTGTTCATGGAATCCCACAGGTAAGTCAAGTCCAAGTCCAAAATTATTTTATATATATATATATATATACACACACACACACATATGTACATATATATATATTATATGAGATACATATATATGTGGGTATATATGTATATATATACACACACATATATATAAATGATAAAGGGAAATTGAGGGTACTTGGATTTCTTGTTTCAGTATCAGGTGATGGTCACATCTTTGACTGAAGTAACAAGTATTAAGACTTAAAAATTGGCTGTTAGGGAAGTGTCACAGAATATCACAAAATATCACAGAATGTTCAAGGTTGGAAGGGACCTCTACAGATCATCCAGTCCAACCTTCCTGCTCCAGCAGGCACACCCAGAGCACGGGGCACAGGGCGGCATCCAGGCGGGTTTTGAAGCCCTCCAGAGTAGGAGACTCCACAACCTCCCTGGGCAGCCTGTTCCACTGCTCTGTTACCCTAACAGTAAAGAAGTTSCTCCTCACCTGGAGAYRGAACTTCYTRTGCTTCAGCTTGTGGCCATTACCCCTCGTCCTATCGCTGGCCACCATTGAGAAGAGCTTGTCCCCTTCCTCCCTGCATTCTCCCTTCCTGAACTTATACATRTTAATCAGATCCCCTCTCAACCGTCTCTTCTCCAGAGAAAACAGGCCCAGCTCACTCAGCCTCTCTTCGTACCAGAGATGTTCCATTCCCTTAATCATCTTAGTTGCTCAAGTAGTCACAATTGAAACTACTTATTTGAAATAATTTGCTTAAGATATTTAAAATTTTGTTTTTATATCTTACTTAAAAGGTAAGTGCATAGTAGAGCAATGCACATGAAGATACCAAGGAAAAGATATGCCACATTAAATTTAAGGAGCCTCTTGACACTCTCTAATATGGGATGGTGAATTTTCAAGAATGTATTTTCTTAGTTACATATTTATCTCCTCTTAAGATGGATATAAAGAAAAGTCTGACTTAAAATAAAAATATCTCTCCCTCTCACTGTCCCTCCATATATGCAGTTATGTAATCTGTCATTTTTTCATCTGTTGCAGAATGCTGGTAGTCTACAAGAGTCCATAAATACAAATGTCTGCAGTTTAAACTCTGTGGTACAAAGAGATGAGGAGGAATCCAAAATGATGGACACAGTATAGTACTATTAAGACTGAGGCCAAGTACTTTTTTTTTTTTTTTTTTTTAAACAAAAGAAAACATGGCTATTTTCTTGACGTTATTTTTCTGGGTACTGCACTTTATTTTTAGTCTGATTTTTTTTGTTGTTGTTTGTTTGTTGGGGGGAGGGAGGGAGGGGGATTTTGAAGAGTGGGTAATCCAGAAACACTTGTAATATTGTTTGAAAATGTGCTGCTAGGTTTTTGGTTGTCCTTGAAGAGCAGGGTTCTCATATATTGCCGAATGTGAAACTGGATGTGTTTTCTGCTACTAACCTTGCCTTTCGTGACTTTAGAAATCAAAGTACGATAAAGGAAAAAAAAAATTCTGCACAAATACAATGTTTACAAGAAGTGGTAGATTCTTGCTAGAATCTGCTGTTGTCTTATTACAGATGTGCACATGTCTTTATGAATATTGGAGATCACAACTGTATTCATGCTACCTTGCTGACATTATAAGCTCTCAAATCTGATTATCACTGATAGCAATAAATCAGTATCTGGTATCAGTATTTCAGACCTGGATGGATTAGATTAAAACACTGGCTTTCTACCTCTTCTAAGGGGATTTAAATGTTACATTGTGCTTTCATTTAAAAAAAAAAAAAAAAGCTTTTGTCCTAAAATTCAAGTAACACTTGTCTGTTTATGAGCATTGGGTTTTATAATATTTGAGAGTCCAGCCCCCCCTTTTAATCATCAAATGAACTTTTTGTTTTGTTTTTTTGTTTTTTTTTTTAAACCAAATCCCATTATAGGGAGAAGTATTTGAAGGTGACTGGGAGAACTTAAGGTACTAGGTTTAGGAAAGCTCTTCGCTTGCAACAAAAAACTTTATTACATCCTCATAGGGGTGTCTTTCAGGATTTTAAAGTTATTTTATATTCTTCTAAAACTGGCTTCTGTAATTGCCAGCTCAAACATTGAGAAAGAGAAATATCTTTTAAACCTTTTTGTTTTAGGAGTCTATAAAGAATAAAAAATGCTTCTAGAGGAGGCCTTCCAGGTACCTCAGCAATCCAAAATGCTACCATGCTTTTCTACCTTACTACAGCTTTGTCCTCCCCTCTAACAAAATGAATATTGCAGCTGGAATACCCAGTTGCAGGGAAGAGAACTTCTAGCTGAAATAGCAAGATGGATATGAACTCTTGATCCTTTACTGCTATGATTGTGGTAAGGTTTACAACGTATCCAATGTAGATACCCAGCGTAGCTTTTGGCTGCTTTTCAAAATAGCTTGTGCTATTTCCAGCTGTGGACTAGAAGTCTTAAGTCTTTCGTACATGCTGCAGAAAGTATTAGTACATACGCAACAGCAGAAAGAGGGGCTGCTTATCCACTGGTAGAAATGCCTGTTTTTAAGGCACTCTTTCCTGGTGCTTTTTCCTCTAGCAGTTCTGATGCAAACTGAGGATAACGGAAAGGCAGCAGATCTGTCAGCTGCAAACTGCAGGTAAGTGGCTTCAGGAGAGTGTATTTTGTTATGTTTGACAGGCGCACCAGAGGAAAGTAAAAACTGCACTCTCCATGATAATTAACTTAATTACAGGGGACCAATAACCTAAGGTGGTTCGTTAAGTGCATCTCTCCCTAAGTACAAGGGCAACGAGGCCCCAGTAGCACAGCGAGTCACAATTATCGCCACTGTTACTGGTACAGTTGTTTTCATCTAGCGGCTCCTGGTCTGTTGGAAGTTATTTTTGATGTTTCTAGGGGCTGATGCTTAATGATTTTTGTGGAAATAAGTCTCAAATCATGCAATTTTCCTCCAACCTGGGTTAAGTGAAACCTCTGTGGGCTGTCAACAAAGCACAGCTGTTTCTATGGAAATTAAAAGGCATAAATAGAAATAAGTGGCAGAGCAGGGTATTATGCTGGAACGAGACAGCCAATCATTTCTAACCTTGATTTTTTTTAAGTATATTTCTACACTCAGTCTGCAGCTGTGATGTTACTGAACTTCCGGCATTACTGAAGATGAAAGGACAGATAGTCCTTAATAAAGGTGTTGCCAGTTTTTCCTTGAAGTAGAAAAAAGTGAGCAATAGTTGCTTACCCTAATGTTTCATTCATGGTAATAGAAAAGTCTTATAGTTCTACATTGCCCATCATGCTTAGACAGTAGCTTAATAGTGATAGTGCTAACATGATTAAAAATCTGAATGTCAGTACCACAGGTTGGTGTAGCTGTTTCTTGATAGTCAATGCAAGAGGAGATCAAGACCTGCCTTAGAAAAAGGAGGCAGCTACTTCAGGTGTTACCTGGATGCAGTAATTTTGTTCTCACATTTTGGCAACTTTTACTGAAACTCAATTTGAGTCTAAAAGTGGCCAGGGTAGTTCACTGAAAACAGCAGCTGAGTTGATAAGTGTGGCTATTTGTGATTCCAGTTATGCAGTGAATATATAGACAGGTATGAGAGCTGGTCAAAAAGACATGAACCAGTACTGTGAAATCACGTAAACCATATGAACCAAGTACTACAATGAAACTGAATACTCTGTAGCAGTCTATGACTACTGGAAATGCCGACACTATTATCAATCAGCAGTAAGGGAAAARTTACTGATTTGTATCCATGTCTACAAGTAAGCTACTTCTGTCGCATTTGTTGTACTAGGCAAGATTGATTAGCTGCACACTTAACATTACACTTAATCTCTTCCATTTTGGGTTCTCTTTCTACTAATAATCTTATGCAGCTGCACAAATACAGAGGATTTACCAAATATGCTACTTATCTTTGAGTCTTTTTCCTCATACCTGCAAGATAGCTATACTGAGTGCACAAAGATGAATGTAATAAGGACAAGGCCAGTCATAACCATAACGTGTCACAGGTAACTTAAATATCAGTTGATAGTGTTACACTGCTCAGTGCAAGCAAAGCTAAGAAAGTGACTCTTTCCATGGTGTCAGCCTGTCTCTCTGCCTGCTTCTGCCTTGAACCACTCTTTGTGGAATAGTGTTCCCCAAAGGTTCTGGCTGACCCCAGCTAGTCACATATTTGAGAAACTTGATTCCCAATCGTTACATTTGCTTTGCATGGAAGTTCATGAAGGAAGAAGTGCTTTATAGTGAGGCTGTTTTCTGAAGTAGTAGCCTGCTCTCAAGAAATATTCCCTACACCACTCAAAATGTCCAGCCATGAGTATTTTCTGATTGAGACACACACAAGAGGAGCTTTTTTGGTAAATGTATTATAAAAATTAGACATCTTTTATATAAAGTACTGAATTAAAGTGAGGATCACAGGAGACTTAAAGTGTTACCACTACATAAGCTGAGAACAATATTAGACTTAAATTATTGATCAGTATGGCACATTATTTAGTGAAACCCTTGATTGCTGAATCTCATGTAACCAGGTCTGTGCTATGACAGATGAGCAGAATTTAGCCCTCGTTTCACCTGGGGGCAGCAGCATCTTTCTGGCTCACATCTGGCAACTTGGTTTGGAGGAAAGCATAGATATGTGGCCAGATCTTATTGGTCTCTGTTCCAGAGAAGGATTTCAACAACCCTTTTGCCCTAAGGAAGAAAAGAAAAAACAAAAGTCAAATTATCTATTCCTTCCAGGATCTCTACCTCATTTTTAAGGTTACTGTAGCAGAAGTGTGCCAATACAAACACGATCTAGGTCTTAGAGCAGTTATAATGGTGGGAACTGGGCATGAATGACTGTTTCTCATATAGTGAGCTAGTAGCCACATTGATTCAGGAAACCAGCAGCTTTGCATAGAGGACTTATTTTTACCCTTTGTAGTTTGTTAAACAGTAGATGCAATTCACTTAGATGACACGTAGATGACACTCAAATAACTGAATAAGCCAGATATTGTGAAGTTGTTATACCCCAGAGCTCAGGGAAGTACAAAGATACATGAAAACAAACATGTGAAGATACAATGAAGTTGTTTTAAATTAGTTCTAGTAGTTAAAATTATCTGTAAAATAAGCTGTCATCAGTTACAATAGTTTAGGTCTATGTCTTGCTGTAAGGCTTAGTGGCGGTTTCACTTCACATTTCACCAAGCTACTGAGATCAGGAAAATCACTCGTGACCCAGAACAGTGTCCAGAAGTTAACCACTTCAAAGACAGAACATGTAGTCTTCTACAATATCAATGTGCTAAACAGACCTATGATGGAGGATGACATGAGCATAAAGACAAATCAAGATACTGCAAAAAAGAATAATTCTTATTTGTTTGTTTGGTTTGGGATAACCTTCTCTAGACTTTCCTCTGGTACTCTAGTATCCATATTACCCATGTATTTGCACAGCAGACCAGCTTCAACATTAAGACAGAGTTTATACAAAGTCAGTCTTCAATACGGACTGACTGTTATCCTTCCACAGTGCAATGAGCAGTGTTCCTGCGTAGCTAGTTCACTGTGCACAGTACAGCCATGTTTTTCCAAAAAAAACAGCTGCTTTGAAAGTCTCAATGGGTTTTCTATGTGTGTCACTTTCTGGCACACTGTCCATGAGAAACTCTTTTGCTTATACATCCAGGAAAAGAATATAACGTTACAGTTTCCAAAAAAAGGTACTACAGCTGTTACCTTACTAAACAGAGGTTTGTTGTTCAAATCATATATAATGTATTGAATAATGTACAGGACTCTCTCTAAAGCTTCATATTGCTGCAGTAAAGAGCTTCTTTGCTTAGCTGACTCCCTGAAGAGGTTTTATGTGAATAACAATGGGAAGCTTATTTGTTTTGCAGCTTTATTTCTTACTGAGTTGATGATATATGTACGGCTACTTCTGTCGTGGTTACATTTGTAATACTTCTGCAATGGAAAAAAGAGCTGTCCCTTGCCATGCTATCACAGAAGGAGGTGTAGTGTTTTACTGCTTACCGGTAATACTCTAGAACAGGTTTTGTTTGTGCATCGTACGCCTGCAGTCTCTTGGTAACCGTCTCTGGCTTATCATCATCACGCTGAACAAGCGGCTCTCCAGTAATGTCATCTATTCCCTAATCATGGTTAAAAGCAA